TGAAGGTAGAGATTATATTGCCACCTGACCAAGCCGCCCGTATCAAGCAGAAGATCCGCGGTGGTGAATGGCAGGACATCAGGAAGAAGGTCCAAGAGGTGAGCGGGGCTAGACAAGCACGAAGCCAGACAAACACTCGTCTATTCATAGTTGCTCTTCCGACAAAAGGCGACTCATCGACTGTACCGTGACTCTAAAGCAATTGAATGCCTGTAGACACTATCGATGAAAAGAAACTGTTGGTCATTGCCCAGTTTGCGTGAGCGTGTTACCTCAAGTGTTGTTGATAAACATTGCTAGTAGGTTGGAAGCCATCGCTATTAGGTTGGAGGCCATCGCTACTAGGTTTGAGGCCACCGCTAGTAGGTTGGAGGCCATCGCTATTAAGTTGGAGGCCACCGCTAGCAGGTTGGAGGCCACTGCTAGTAGGTTGGAGGCCATCGCTAGTAGGTTGGAGGCCATCGCTATAGTAGGTTGGAGGCCATCGCTATACTAGGTTCGAGGCCATCGCTAGTAGGTTGGAGGCCATCGCTATTAAGTTGGAGGCCATCCCTATTAAGTTGGAGGCCATTGCTAGCAGGTTGGAGGCCACTGCTAGTAGGTTGGAGGCCATTGCTACTAGGTTGGAGGCCATCGCTAGTAGGTTGGAGGCCATCGCTAGTTGGTCGGGGGCCATCGCTAGTAGGTTTGAGGCCATCGCTAGTAGGTTGGAGGCCATCGCTATTAGGTTGGAAGCCATCGCTATTAGGTTGGAGGCCATTGCTAGTAGAAGCCCGGCAACTCTGGAACTGTGGGACTTTCGAAGAAACCTTTCAAGTTCTGACATGTTGGCGCCCGAAGATCATTTGTAGGACAACCCTAACTGAGCAAACCATGGCATTGGCATGGCCGGACCCTGAAATACAAGGAGAGGAAGTTGAAAAACTACAGGGTTTCTTGAGTTTGAACAGGGAATGCGCGTCCTGAATGGAAACGGGACAGGCACTCCAAGCTGTTGCCGGCAATGTTAAACCTGTTTTCTTTCGCAAGGGTCACAACTGCGAAAAGAGAAAGGCCGTTAGCTGTTGCAGAGTCACTGCGAAAGCTGGAGTCGCATAGAACAGGAGGAGAGACCACAGCAGAATAGTGAAAGCTCAGCTATGTACACTGACTTGGCCAAGCGTGCATAGTGTTCTCCAGTGAAGGATCAGGAACCGGAACTCTCCTCCACCCCAAAATAAAGTGAAAAAACAAAATATATTTCCTTTATCAGACGAAGTGGACTCGCAACTAGATCTGGAACTAGAACTGGATCTAGAACTGGAACTGGATTTGGAATTGGATCACCTCCCCCCATGAATTGAAATGACAATGAAAACAGGAAATAGAATTAGATCTAGAATTGAACCTGGAACTTGATCTCCCCTCCCCACACAAAAAATAAGATGTTAATTTCAACTAGAACTCTCTGCAAGCGTGACAATTGTGACAAGGAGAAACTCTTGCTTCTTAATATGCCTTGGCCCAGCTTAGTCTTAACGTGATTTGTCGTTTGCTGTTAGATTGGACAGTTGGGGTTTCTTATTAGTTTTCCTTCAGCCCTCAGGTGAATGTGGTAAATGCGAAGGCTTCAAAGCCTGAGGACGAAGAGATGGTAAAGGCCCATATACGGGAAGATGGTGGCTTCGACAAGGTGAATGGCAAAGTTCGGAGCACCTTGATGGATTGGATTCAGCAACAGCTGCTATCTTTCCTTGACGAGCAACCAGAAGCCACTGATTTCCTGCGGACTGCCGGGCTCAGCGTGGATAGACTTGAAGCACAAGGAATTCAAACTTTGGAAGCTGTGGGAGACAGATTGCTTCAAGCGAAACTACACAAATGGGGTTTAGCTCCACACCTCTTTGAAGGCCGTTCCGAAGAAGAGGTGCGCGGAGAGCATCGCGGGCAAGCGCATCAAAGAAATTGACACCAAAAGAAACCACATTGAAACTTTTGCATGTCCTTTTCAAGCAGCAACAACTACTATAGCTTCCATTCCCAAGGCACAGTTTGTTGAATCTTAGACCTTTCCCCTCAACTTCGTACAGGTCGCTGCACCCCTTCTTAGTGCTGCCCCCGTTTTCCGTTCAACGCCTCTTGCTTTCTTCCCGCGCTGTTGCCCACTGTCACCCCTCCAAATTCCGTTGCCCAAACGATGAAACACAGAGCATCGCGGCGGAGCTCCACGGTGGAGCTCCCGGTACCCGGAGCGCGTTGGCACCGGTGCTTTGGCTGCCCAACTGCCAAGACCGGAGACGAAGCGATGTGCCTCTACGTTCGTAGCGATGCCAGCGCCACGGAACGGTAGCGAACCTTGTTCCTAGTAGTAATGCCCTTTGCTACTAGTAGCGTCCGTGCTCCTAGTAGTAAGGCCAGGAGCCCCTAGTAGCTTCTTGTTCCTAGTAGTAATGCCCTTTGCTACTAGTAGCGATGCCTTTGTCACAACGTGCAAGAGATCTCTGATCGGCCTTGCCGCCCACACCCGTCGCGCCCACAAGTGAAACTGCGCCACAACGAACGGGCCCAAGCTTAACGTTTTAAAGGCAAGATCGGGCGGAACATTTAAGCCTGGCGACAACTGATTCGTGAAAATTCCTGATGCGCTTTGCTGACATGTTTGGTGGCTGCGGTCAGTTTGCCCTTGTCATTGAAGGTCCGACGTGACAGAAGAATAGAGGAGAGCTTGCCCACCCAGGAAGACAAGAAGAAGTTCCGCCACTTGCGGCAGGAGATTCTTGCAGGCGAAGCAGTCGTTGAGGAACTGGTGGCACTTGAGATGTTAGTGAGTCGTGGTTCTGATTGGTGTTATGATGCTGACAGTGATGATGACTTAACGCCGGAAGACGGAGGGCCCCAAGGTGTGGGTCGTGTTGTAGCATGGCATTCCAGATCCGGAGAGAAGGTCGGAGCGATCCAGATCCCGCGTTCCGGCTGGGTCAAAGTACAGTGGCAAGTCACAGGGTACACACGCAGTTATCGTATGGGAACATCGGAGTATGCGTTGGCGGAGTTGGTGTTTGCTGCAATCCCAGACCAAGAAGAAAAGACTCTTAAAGAAGTTCCTAAAGGGGAGATTCAGCTACATCACTTGCGGTGTAGCTTCGGCTACAAGTGTGGCACCCGATGGGCCCATTATGCGCTTTTTGACAACCGCCCAGAGGCATGTGAAAAGGTGGCTGCACTAAAGCCAGGCGATGTTGTGGAGGATAGAGATGGGGACAGATCCGTATGCATCGGCTTGAAGTACAATGCAGACAAGAAAAAGGTAGACCTGTGGTTTCACTGCGAGGGCAGAGATGGCGCAGGCCTCTTTACACATGCAGATCACAATGTATCTTTGCGAAGAGTTTCGCACAAGCGCGTGCAAGAGGCCAATCGAAAAGAAGTGGAAGGTGCTTCAGATGGGGAGATCGATCATGATGAGCGCGAGTGGGTGGGTCAGAATCTGAAACCGACCCTTCGCTACCTATCCAAGTCAGGTCAGGTCCTTCACTTTGACGTTCGAGATGAAATGGTTCGGAAGTTCAAGATGCCCTACAAGTCTGGGGATGTCCTGGTTGACAAGGCAGATGGGGAGAAGATGACCTGCATCGGGGTTGCCAGTGATCCTATGAGGAAGCTTGCCACGCAGCATGGGCGCCGAAGAGGGCGTCGAGTGACTGGCAGTGTGGCAGAGCTCTGGTTTCATGTGGAAACCTCCGACGGGGCTGGTCTCAGTCCCAAAATGCATAAGGCCTTGAGCCGTTTCAGGGTTTTGCGCAATGAGCCAGTGGTTGAAATGCTTGGTGCAGCCTCTTCACGCGATTCATGGGATGCAGAAACAGCGGTGGGCTTGCTTCAAAGCCTACAGGGCAGTTTGCAGTGTGATTATTGCTTTCCGAGAGGGGCTGGTGAGCATTCGACTCCCGACTGGTTTGATGTGCGGGAAGATTTGGTTGAGAATGTCGTTGGCTTCAAACCTGGGACCGTCTTGAATATCAGAGGCACTCCACCTGGGACTCGCTTAACCCTGATCGGTTTCAGGACAGATCCCGACAACGGTGAAGTTGGAGTTTGGTGGCATCATGAAGAGTCTTGTCCGCAGGTGGCGGCCTCCACCGAACATCACCCAACCGCCTTTCTTTTTTGAGCCCGCGCTATCCTCCCCCCTCCCACGTGCGCGGGGGGGGGTAGGCCGCTAGTAGCTAGGTAGCTAGTAGCTTAAATAGCTACCACTTAGGATGCAGGATAGCTCGCGCTTCTTCAAGGAAACTCCCCTGAAGAAGCGCTCGCACTGATGATTTGGTTGCTTGATTTTTTGGGAAACTTAACCTTTAGGCCCTTCTATTAGTTTCTTTCTGTTTTTGCATTGAATTCATGGGCGCAACGGGTGATGTTTCGAAAGCCACTTGTTTTGCGGAACGAAGCGAGTACCTCATGCCTCATGGAGTCCGGGAGGTTCCTATGTCGGGTGTTTCATCCAGTGAGGTGGGAGGTGAGCGGTAAGTGCATGTGAAGGGTGTGGGTGGAAGGCCAAAAAGGAGCCCCTAGTAGCGTCCTTGCTCCTAGTTAGTAGCATCCTTGTTCCTAGTAGTACGGCCAGGAGCTACTAGTAGCGCCCTTGCTCCTAGTAGGTCTATGAAAGAAAAGGTGCGGATGGGGGTCGGAGACTCTGAAGGGCTCCCGTTTCGATTTGAGATGTGGCATACATGGGAGATGATGGGGGGATGTTTTGGACCATCTTGGACCTTCGTGGAGCTAAACGGATCGAAGGTGAACAAAAACAGTGATGAGCCAATGACATCGATTTTAGGGGGATTGCAGATATGTCTTTGATTGCCTTTGGCACCTCCTTTTTGTGGTGCCGATGCGTGTCGTGTCGCTTGATGGTCTGGGTTGCATTGGCTTTCGGCCCTCCCTTCTCAGGCTTTGTTCAGTTGATTTGCCTTAGAGGTTTTCTTTCAAGGCTGCGTTGCTCACATATCGGTCCAAATTGTCCAAGGACTTCGAGAGGGTGCATGCAGGAGCTGGCATGGTCCCCGGCTGGGAGCATATGCGTCAGATGATGCGGGACACAGGTTCGTTGTCTCTAAAGGTATTGGTGGATCACTAAAGTTCTCTACAACAGATGATATACCGATGAGTTGGACGATGTGTGCGAGTGAGAGTCTGTGTAGTCGCTGTAGTCTTTGGTCGTTTTTTTGCAGAGTCTTTTGTGAGGTGTAGCCCGGCACAATGTATCTCGTGTACATGGTTTTTATTCATGCTGCTGTAGCATAGTCAGGTGCAGTGTAAGGACTCGCAGCTGGATTAGGGGGAGGCCAACGCTATTAGGTTGGAGGCCATCGCTATTAGGAGCAAGGACGCTACTAGGGGCTCCTGGCATCGCTACTATAGGAGCAAGGACGCTATTGGGTTGGAGGCCATCGCTTTTTTCGGCTGGGATGACATCGCCCTGCCAGGTGAACGCGTGAACCTCGACGAGTTGAAACAACGCATTGCAGGTAAACGGCCCACATTGGGGAGGCCGGGAAGCGAAAGGCCAACCGGAAGAGGAAGAGCAATTGAGCCTTTGAATGCTTTCAGGAATCGTTTTTTGTTCAACTCTATTCCAATTTGCCCCAATTGTTTCAACCCTTTTTGAGATTTCGGTTCGATTCCAAGCGTGCTGAGCTATTTTATTCGGGCAAGATCAATTGGATTGCTTGGGTTGGCGTGGTTTGTAGGAATTCTGTCAAAAACTGCTCAAGACGACTCCTCCTCCGTGCCGTCCGGCACGGTGGCACAGCTGATTCTTCACTGACCATTGAATAAGAGGAATTGCTATTAGGTTGGAGCCATCGCGTTCTTCGGTTGGAGGCCATTGCTAGTATTAGGTTGGAGGCCATTGCTATTAGATTCCTTAAAGTCCTTTTTCTACAGGGGCATGTTTATAGTGCTCTCCGAGGAAGAATTGCTGTCACAGCTCGCAGATGCTGAGCCTGGTCAACTCGAAGAACTCTTCGGCTCCCTGATGCGTTGAGTCAAATCTCTCGTGTTTTGCCAGAGACGTCTGAGCTAGTTTTGCCGAAGGCAACGAAAGCTCTAAGCAGACCAAAGCTGTCTGACAGAGGTTTGGCTACTCTATGACTGTCGCATTGTTGCGCGATAGCTTTGGAGGATCTTGCAAAACGACCGACAACGAAAAATCTAAATGTGGCATGTTTTGGTGAGTCTCAGTGGGAGAACGGATAGTTCAGGCGTGCTCAGTATTCGGCATTCGGCAGGAACAGAAGGAGGTTCGGCTTCTTAAGGATCGGACCGTGCGGACGCGCCACGATCGGTACCGTGGTGGGTGTTCGTGTCACCTGGCCGACTCTCACATCGAAAACAAACACATGCGGCGCAATTTGGCGGCACAAGGTTTGGAGGGTGTCAGGTTTGGTGCAAGTGACGATTTTCGCCCAGATATCAACCCGACATTGAGCACAACTTTGGACCTTGATGTGCAAAGCGCCACATCGATGAACTTAGGACTTCGGCGGCCACCCAGTCAGGTTGCGCAAAAGGCGTCGAAACCGACCAGATCAAGGCCCCAGACTAGAGCCCCTTCAGTTTTGCAAAAGCTGGAAAGAATGACGTCAAAATCGTGTACTCAACAGATATCTCATGGTATCTCATTGCAAAACGGTTTTGAAGTTCCAGTGCCCATCTGATTGTCCGGTCTCCGCCGTTTGTGCAGAATGCGCCCACTTCACCTGCACGGGTTTTGACACCTTCGTTGGAGGGAGCGCGTCAAGCATCGTTCTGCGCCACTCTGCTCAGACTGCGTTTTATGCATTTCTGTGCATTGCGGACGTTTCCTCCAAAAGGTTAATGCTTTAACATCTAGAGGGGGCATTCAGGCATTCATTCCCAAATACATGCATAGCAGGGGCTCCATGATGTCGGCGAGAGGTGTTGGCAAAGGGCCCAAGTAGACCTATTGACCTATGCCAGACCTTCTCCACACTTCTCTAGCCTATAATTACAAGGACTCCCGGCGTTACTAGCGGCTCCTGGCATTTGACGCTGCGGCCGCAAGGCAGTGCCCCATCATGGCGTTAGGGTGTGGTTTGCCCACAAAATCACTCAATATGTAGGTCATACCCACACCAAAAAACTATGAGTTTCACAGGGCAATACTTAGTTTTGAGAGTTTAAGCGCTGATTTCATTGGATTTTTGACATAAAAGCGCCTCAAGATCATCACTCTCGTGGTGTTTCGCAGCTCTATTTGGTGCTCTCTCACAGTTTTTCGTGACATCCTCTCGCGGCTCCTGTCAGTCTATCCCACATGGTGTGAAATCATACAACAAGTCTTGCGCAATGAACTTTTGGATCTGATGTTGCAACAGTCCAATGAAGCGCCCCGAAGTCCGAAGCACCACGAACATTTCTCAGTATCCGCTTCCTTTCAAGTGATGCAGTTTCCCAAAGCAGTTCTTCGCCTTCCAGAGACCAAACCAGAACAATATCAACGACGTACTAAACTCGGGACATGAACAAGACTTTGGAGCGTTGCCAAAATGATGAACTTTAGTATATAGATCTTGTTTGATTCAAAATTTGTGTTCTTGGTCTTCGTGTAATTGCTTGAGTCAATTGAGTTCTCTTTGCCAATTTATGTAATCACTCAGTGTTTTTTTCAACTTGATCAAAAGACACATTTGGCGGGAGTTGAAGCTACTAGGAGCAAAGGGCATCGCTTCTAGGAGCAAGGACGCTACTAGGGCCTCCTGGCCTCACACTAGGAGGCCTGCCCTGCTACTAGGAGCAAGGACGCTACTAGGTTGAAGGCCATCGCTCTTAGGTTGGAGGCCGTCGCTAGAACGTTGGAGGCCGTCAGGGACCTGAGGATCTTGGCGTCGCCGTTGCTGTGGCTTCCAGGGAAAACGGACCGGGCCGAACCCATGAGCCTGCGAGCCCATGGGCCGCCTGCGGCGCACCGAATCTCCGGAAGGCAGGGAAGATGTATTAATGGCCTCCAACCTAGTAGCGTCCTTGCTCCTAGTAGCGATGCACTTGTTTCTAATAGCTTCTTGTTCCTAGTAAGGCACTTGTTACTAGTAGCGATGCACTTGTTCCTAGTAGCATCCTTGCTCCTAGTACTGCCAGGAGCTAGTAGTAGCGTCCTTGCCTTATGGTGTGTTTTATAGTTTTTAAATGTTTGTCGTTTTTCTTTTGCGTTTTTCTTTTCAATTGAGCTGTACTGGTAGACCAAATGTGTGAAGAAGTACGTGAGTCGCGTCCAGACTTTCCATCTTTGAGAGGAAAACCTTGGCATATCTTGACAACATGTGAGAACACCAGTTGATGCAAAAAATGATGCTCCACCATTCTAATAGTTTCTTGCTCCTAGTAGTAAGGCACTTGTTACTAGTAGCGATGCACTTGTTTCCAAAATAGCTTCTTGTTACTAGTAGTAAGGCACTTTGCTAGAAATGCAGGCCAAAAAGTAGAGCAATCCAAGCTTGTCCGACGGAGTAAGAACGCTTTTTGTAGAACGCCTCCACAGAGGGTTCCCTACTGTGTTCTTGTTATTTGTGTCAAAGCTTTAGACCATTCAGTCAAACTTTAGCCTTCCATGCTTCTTTTCTTTTTTTTATTTGGCCGCTTCTTCCGACGGTTCTTTCTATTATTTGTTTTTTGTTCTAGAGATGCTTCTTCCTATTGTCTCTAGACCTTTCCTCCTTTTTTTCCTTTTGGAAAACCTTTCTTCCTTTCTTTTGAAAAGACCTTTCTTCATGTATTTTTTTCTCTTGTTTCTACCCCAGAACTTTCCGATGCCTCAAACCTCTTTTCACCATGTTTTAGAAGGTTCTTCCTTTGTTCACTTTTTTGCTTTAGACCTGTCTTCCTTTCTTGTGTTGTTTTCTTAAGAGCTATATAGTTTCCTTTTTTTTTGGTCCTTTTTTTTCCCTTTCCTGTCTCGGATCATAAGGTCAAACTGTCAGTCAGAGCATTAGAGCATTCTCCAGGGGCGCCTTGCCCATATTGCCAGCGCGAGGGGGGAAGACAAGTTTAGCCCATGCGTTTTCGTCGTTTCTTCTTCTTTCCATTGTAGGTCAATGTCACTGCGGGCTTCCACCTGAAGGACTTGCAGCGAAGTGACGCCCTCACTGCCAAACGCGAGAACAAATTGAGTCGGTTTGGTCATGTTCACACGAGTCAAAGCAAAGAGGGCATATGATATCGAAGCAAAGGATGATTTTTTGGGATGTAAGTGTGAGTTTGGCGGGATGTTAGATGTTAGAGGTGCACGGTGGAAGGTTGAGCTTTCAGATGCTTTCAGGCTGGAGTCTTGGAAGAATGACCCTGACCTTTGCGTCATTTGGGCCGCCTTTTGTCCTTCCTCGCCTTTGACTTTGGCTGACGGCATTTCACTGGCAAAAACTCGAAGGCGAAAGCTCGATGCCCCTAGTAGTTTCTTGTTCCTAGTAGCGTCCTTGTTCCTAGTAGTAAGGCCAGGAGCCCCTAGTAGCTTCTTGCTCCTAGTAGCGTCCTTGTTCTTGCTCCGAGTAGCGTCCTTGTTCCTAGTAGTAAGGCCAGGAGCCCCTAGTAGCGTCCTTGATCCTAGTAGTAAGGCCGGGAACCCCTAGTAGCTTCTTGCTCCTAGTATCGATGCCCTTTGCTCCTAGTAGCTTCTTGTTCCTAGAATGGAGCAGATGGAACACTTGCGATGGCCTCCAACCTAAGAGCGATGGATCACTTCTTTCTCCACGATCTCAAGATCACGTTGTCCTTTAAAGATGGCCGGGGCCAGACTTGTGAAACTTTGTGCCGACTAGTGTCAGTGTGTGAGGGACGTAGATCAAAGCAGTTGAAACCAAGATGCCCGTATGAATGTTTGCTTTGTAGAACAGTTTGGAAGCCTGCAGGTCAACGAATGAAGTGCTGCAGCTGCTTACCGGCAGAGGCTGGGACAGAAAGAGGTTACATATTCTGCAACATGCACTTGAGAGGACACCTTCAGGACACCTTTCCATATCTAATAGCAATGGCCTCCAATCGACTAGTGATGGCCTCCAACCTACTTGAGAGGACACCTTTCCGTATGTCTTGGACGGTGCAAACACAGTTCCCGAATGGCGCCAACACCTCTCTTCGCTTCCTCGTTCCTCTCTCCAATCCCAATGATGCCTGTCATTGCTCCTAGTAGCGATGCCAGGAGCCCCTAGTAGCGTTCTTTGCTCCTAGTAGTAAGGCCAGGAGCCCCTAGTAGCGTCCTTGCTCCTAGTAACATGGCAAGGTAGCTTTGCTTTGCATGGTGTTTCGTGCATATCGGACACATGCAAGCTTTCATCCAACAAGACAACCCGAACGCTTTCCCCAAAGCCAGCAGCATTGGCGTTAGTACAACCCGACTGGTTTTGAGGGTTGTGGACTCACCCCGAAGAAGCTGATTTTCCAGAGGCATTTGTTACATGCAGAACTGGAGTGAAATGGAGTCGAAATTCCTTCCCACTTTGTTTTCTCCTTCCTTTCTCTTCTTTGTTCTTTTCTTTCCCTTAGACCCTTTAGACTCTAGACCTTATTTTCGATGGCAGATGCAAGGAGATCCTAGGAGCGTCCTTGCTCCTAGTAGTAAGGCCAGGAGCCCCAAGTAGCGTCCTTGCTCCTAGTAGCAAGGCCAGGAGCCCCTAGACCATATTTTCTGATCTTCTTTCTTTTTGTCCTTAGTTTCCTACGATAGTCTGCGACAGTCTGCCGGGTGTCAGGCGGAACTGCTTGTGGCACCTGCATGTGCCTCCGTGGAGCGCACCAGGAGGCCGTGACCACAAGAAGATGCTTCGTTTTCGGAATTTCATCGCTAGTAGGTTGGAGGCCATGTTTTGGGATATGTTTGTTTATTTTTTTTTCGTGTATCATATATATATATAAATATTGAGAGAGAGACCTTATTGTTTATAAAGCAACATGTATACTCCACACGTCGGGCATTTTGCCTCCTCTTACCTCTTGCGGCTCTTCTAGGGCTTTGCCTGGGCTTCGGTTGGAATGTCAAATTGCCCTTTGTGCGGGTTGCTACTTGAAAGAGCGGAACTGCTAAACCAAGATGCTTTCCGAATGGGTTCAGGCGGATTTCAAACCGGCTACCGGTTCGACTCCCAAGTCGAGTGTTCGACTCCCTTGGAGCGACAGAAGCACTGCAAAGGTGAAAAAAGGCGATCGAAAGGCATTGCGCTGCAGCGCTGCGCGGTCAAGAAAACCTACTAGTGATGGCCTCCAACCTAATGGTGATGGCCTTCAAAAAGATTTCAAGACCTTGTTTGCCTTAAAACATCTTAAAACCCTTGGAGAAGCCTTGCTCCGAGATGCTTTCTCATCGAGTTAGGTCTTAGTACGGGCTAGTTGAGGTCAGAGACCAAATTTGCAAGGCAGACACATCACCCAGATCACCAGATGAGGGCGCGCCAATACCGGCTGCAACTCTGGCACAGGCTGCAATGCTTGTGGAACCAACGTTTGAGACATTGCAAAACGCATTATTCTTGGAAAATCATTACAAGATTGTAAGTGTTGTAAACATGATACAATGCAATACATACTGTATTATTTGTTTCCAGAATTCTGGCCTGAAGAGCGTTCTGGTCATGGATTCTCACCATTTCTCGAGCGCTTCAGGTGCCCACAGATTTGTGGGTTCAAGAAGCTTGGGCCGACACGGCAGCTTCCTAAGTGGATCTTCTTGAACGCGCATGCCCAGAGACAGGAATCTTAACAGAAAAGCAAGCATTAGCAAGGAGTTACTAGGAGCAAGGAAGCTACTAGGGGCTCCTGGCCTTACTACTAGGAACAAGAAGCTACTAGCAACCAAGGGCATCGCTATTAGGAGCGATCGGACGCTACCAGCGTTTCGAAGCTACTTCGAAGCTACTAGTTTTCTAGTGACGCCTTACGGCCACCCTTACGGCCTACTCCTATGGCCTACCCAAGCAAGAAAGAGGACTGGCACGCAAGCACGAAGAATCAACACATTATCATTTGTTGTTGATTCCTTGCCGAGAAGGAGAAGAACGGCTCTTTCTTTACTCCTTTTTATCTCTCTCACATTTTCTTACTAGACTACTCGACCAAAGAATGTAACGTCATGTTCGACAGAAGATGGATTTGATATGGTTTCATGGTTTAACCGTTGTTTCACCGTTTTCACCACCTTTCGAGGTCTTGATGCCATGGAACTCCAGCGGCTTCAAAGTTGTTGGGCGTTTGGCGAAATCGATTCATGGCGAGGCACAAGCGATCCAAAACACCGAAGAAACAAGAGAGAGAGAGAGAGAAGAGAGAAAAGATGAGACAATGTTTTTGTTGGCAAGGAAGACATACTTGTTGATAGATGTTTGATAGATGTTGATAGTAAAAGAGGTGTTTTTCTTGATTTTTTTGAGGCGTGTTGTTGACAGCAGCAGCTTCCTAGTCGGACGTGGATACCATCACATGTCCACGACCGAACAAATCCTCTTGACACTCTCTTTTTCTTGTTTCTAATAGCTTCTTGTTACTACTAGTAAGGCACTTGTTACTAGAAGCGATGCACTTGTTCCTAGTAGCTTATTGTTCACTGTTCCGTGTTTGAGTCATCTCCAAGACAGAGATCTCAGGACCTTTTGAGGCAATGGACGAAAGTATAAGTCATTATCGTTGAGGTAATTCGATGGTAACACATTTGTGCTAAAGCTTCCGCCTCTTGCATTTGACAGGTTCATTTTGTGAAAGATGACACAGGAACTGCCTATGTTGCAAAGGCCGGGTCAATCAGACATTCCAACAGACTGCCATGTTCAATAGATGGTGAGGTAGCGCCGAAGGACGATGTGAACCTCACAAAGGAGAAGATGGAAACTTCGAAACGCCCCGATCTGTAGCGTCCGATCGCTCCGATGCCCAAAATGCTCCGTTCGAGTCGCGAACCGAACGTTACTGGTAGTAAGGCCGAACGGAGCGCCCCGAACGTAGCGTCCGAACGCTTGCCTTCTGATTCTGAAGCCTCCGGATCTTCAGGACGGAGAGGAATCGACGTGGCCCGGGGCCCAAGAAACGAAACAGTCCTCCGGCTTGCCGCAGTAGCTTCAAAGACCTACGATAAGTCCGCGTTCTTTGCTTTGAAGAACATCAATCCCCGTTTGAACAAATGCAGTTCGAACTTGTGACTGTCGACGTCGAAAAAGGTTCAGCCCAGAAAGTCATGTTCACTTCGAAGACCTCCGAACTGAGATTGCGGCCGACCACTCAGACGACCAAAACGAGACAGGTGACCAGGCCGACCAATGGTGTCAGAATGTCCGAGAAGCGATGGTCTCCAACCTAAGAGCGATGACCTCCAGCCTAAGAGCGATGGCCTCCAACCTATTAGTGTAGAAGTATGTGTAATAATGTTTGTGCTTTCAGACAAAGACACTTCTGCAACTTGAATCCTTGATTCCTCATCTCGAATGAGCCTCCAAAGCACTCAGATTGAGGTCTTGAGCTTTCTGAGCAAATTGAAGTGCTCAGAGAACCACATCGTTGAGATGTTTGGATCCTTTGAGGCCATCGCGCTTTTCGCTCTTAGAGGAAAGGGGTTAAGAGATGTTAAGACGTTTTTCGAAGGCCCTCTTGTTTCAAGAACGGATGTTTTGAGGTTTATATATTTTGAGAGTAAGAAAGACGGATGTGTTTGACAATGCATTTATGCCTACGTCTACCTGTTTTCTGTTCCTGTGCATGCTCGTGTGCAGGATGTAGCATCCCTTTACCTCATCACAGCCTATTGTGAAGAAGGCGGACTGCAACCAATTCAGCCCAACCCAACCCCAAAAATACCGTTCTTGGTTGAGGTGAGAGTAAGATCCAAAGCTGGAGAAAAGTACTCCTGTGCTGTATGCGTCTTCGTTCGTGTGATCTGAAAGTGCCAAGTCAGACGCGCCTGTCTTGCTGAATCGCCGCCGTGTTTTCGTTTCATCTCCCCAACCTAGTAGTAACAATAAAGCTACTAGTAACCAGTGCATCGCTTCTAGTAACAAGTGCCTTACTAGTAGTAACAATAAAGCTAGTAGTAACCAGTGCATCGCTTCTAGTAACAAGGATGCTACAGTGCCTTGCTGAAATAAGTCCGATAAGTCCAACCTCTGAAACCGACTGTTTCGGGTCCAAACGGTTCCGTCGTTCCGATCAGGTGACCTTTTCGAGAGGGTGGCCTATGGCGACCCTTTGGGCGAAGCGGAGAAGAAGCGCTATGTCGGCGATATCCTGCGAGGAGTAGAGCCCTTGGGCCACCTCACATCTCATGAGCGTTCGGTCGCTCAAAAATTGCGAAAGGAAGCTAGTATGTTATTGTTACTACCAGTAAGGCACCTGTTACTACTAGCGTGGCACTTGTTACTACCAGTAAGGCACCTGTTACAAGCTAGTATGTTATGCATGTTGCGAATGCAAACGATCTTGCAACTCTGCCAGCAGTGTTTCTCGGCAGCTAGCTTCTTCTCCTCTCTTGCAACTCAACTCTTGTATTGCAAGCCAGTGTAATTGTCAAGAAGCAAATCTTAGGTACTGGGCTTTGACATCAAGGGGATTTAAAGGGTATCCCTGTCTTGGAACAGCCTGTTGGACATAATAGACCAGCGGCCAATTACCGGTTTGCATCCCTTAGCAATCGTTTCTTGACATTTGGACGAGGTTGCTCATTTGCATCGACACAACATTGGTCATCGGGATCTCTCACTGGAGAATGTGGGGGACCTTAGCGAAAACTGCACACAGGCTCAAGACTCTAAGGCTGAAAAACGAGCAAGGTCCATCCAAAGAAAACAAGAGAAAAGAAAGGAACAGACTTGAACGCAATGGCCTCCTCTCAACACAAAAAGCCTCCCTCCAAATAGTGGTAGCGATGGCCTCCAACCTAATAGCGATGGCCTCCAACCTTCTCGTACTAGCGATGCCCTCCAATCTACTAATAGCGAGGCCTCCAGCATTATCGCTATTTACCCAAGACCTGAGGGTACCCCAATTGTGGTTGGGTTCCAGAAAGAGTCGTTTTCCTGTGGACATTCCAGACGAAAGCCTTCGGCAGACAATCTTCAGGAGAAATAAGACAGGGTCGAAAGAAAAGACACATAAAAGGAAAAGTAAGGGAAAACAGTCTATAGGGAAAGAAACTGATTGTAGAGCCATGGAGAGTCATCCTCATTGCACTTGAGGTGTTGCTCCAGAAAGGGAATTGTGTGCTGATCGACTTTCGACAGGCGCTGCGCCTGTTCTCACGGAAAGGTTTGCAGGAGCGGAATGTGAGGGTCATGACCGGTCTTACCATCCGTCCATTCTTCGTCAGCATAGTGGTAGCATTCTTTTGGCCTACAACATGGTAAGAAACTATGCCTATAGTCAGCTGTCGCAAGCAAGGAGCTATCTAGATACTGGGACAGAAGGGCTAGGTTGGAGGCCATCGCTTCTAGGTTGGAGGCCATTCCTATTAGGCTCTTCTTCAAGTCGGGGATAGTCAAAGCCACTACTTGCGGTCTCTGCATTGCACTTGGAACCTGCTAACTGGAAGGCTGTGATGCTGAAGTCAAGTGATGGAGTGGTGAAGAGGTGGCGCAGCTTGCAAAGGGTCCAAAACACTGTTAAACGGAGGATTGGGCCATCGCTACTAGGATGCAGGCCATTGCTACTAGGGTGGAGGCCATCGCTACTGGTCTTCGAGAAAAAGGTAGAAATATTATGAAACATTTACTGTAAGTTGAGGACTATGACGACTCGTATATGCAATATGAACAAAAACATTATTCGACCTCAAAATCCAGATGTCCTTGGTTCTTCGTGCTTTGCCTGTTTGTCTTTCTGTTGAAGACCTTTGGCAGCCTGCCCTGCAGGTATTTTGTTGAGGCCGGAAAAAGGATGTATCGTTCCCCTGAGATGTACGTGCCCCGGTGCAGCAAAATTCAGGCCAGATTCTTGTTCTCACGCTGAACAAGAACTCGCTACTAGGAACAAGAAGCTACTAGGGGCTCCTGGCCTTACTACTAGGAGCAATGTTCGCTATTAGAAACAAGAAATAGATAGAATTAGAATTCAAGTATAACTTCAGTTCAATCAAAAGAGACATTTGGCATGGGACTGCATGAGCCTTTCAAGTGTGAATGCACGCACATCCGCGGTCCAGGTGGTTTGTCCCTCAGATGCTGTAGCCAACACGGTCTCCATGGTGGCTTGGTTGACATCAAGGATATTTTCAGATCGCACTGTGAGCCTCGTTCTTCGGCTTCTTGTGACTAGTAATAAGAATGCTCCTAGTAGCGATGCCAGGAGCCCCTAGTAGCGTCCTTGCTCCTAGGAGCGATGCCCTTTGCTCCTAGTAGCTTCATGGACTATGAGTGCTTTTCCGAACGGGTAGAACAAAGCCAGGTGTCCCACGAGAAGATGCGCTGCGAAGTTTTCCTACCTTCTGATGCTGTGCCTGGGAAGTGAATTCCTCAGAGAGAGAAAAGGATTGATCCAATGCGGAATGGCAGTGCCAGTGGAATTCTCAACAGGAATCCAAAAGCAGCCGGGTTCTGGAATTAGCGACTTGTAGTATCTTGTAGTACTCTAGGCCTTACTCTAGCATTCTGTGTAGCAATGGCAGCCTACCAGGAAGGCTCTTTAAAAGCCTTACTCAAAGGAAGCTTAGCTGGGAGCATTTGGTGATGTGAAAGCAAGAGGGCGCACGAGGGCGCACGCACGAGGGCGCACCTTGAGCATCTCTGCATGTTTTGGGACGCACGAGTGCACACGTGGGGGGTATGGTTGTGAATCGGCCACGGTCTGTGTCCTTCGGAGTCTTTGCTTCCACGGCTGCAGCCGAAGGTTCCCAAGGCACTGCCATACCGCTGTGGCGCTGAATCTCTTGGGGCTCGCAGTTTCAACGCGTTGGCGTCAGTCCGCCAGCCTTGTCGTCAGTGGAAGGTAGGTCGCCACCGTGCGAAAGGCCGCGTTGTCACATTGATGGTGTGGATGTGTGGTGCAAGGGTTCAAGGATGCAAGGATACCATCGCTCTTAGGTTGGAGGCCATCGCTACTAGGGTGGAGGCTGCTATTAGGTTGCAGAGGAAGGAGAGGAAGGAGGCGCCTGCTCGGCTACTTCTGAGAGGTCCCTGTGCGGAACGGGAGACCTCCTCGTTTCGGCTGGGCTGTTGCCACGCCCCATTGGAAAGTTCAAGCGAGGGCTTTAAACTTCGAATTTTCAGAGCCCTCGACGGAAAAGTGTGGAGAAGTGCTGTATATACGGCAAGTGCTGAATCGGACAGAAGAGCCAAGCGTTTCAGAGAAATGTATTATAAGGTTCGCTACTAGGAACAAGTGCATCGCTTCTAGTAACAAGTGCCTTACCAGTAGTAACAAGAAGCTAAGACATATAATAAAACATTTAGGTTTCTAAAGTAGAGTACAGACACCTGGAGAGCTCAAAGGCAGGTACAGAGAAATAGAATCGACACTTTCATGGACAAATACCTTTGGAGTTGGATTTTGTGGAAGGCCAAGACCCATAATGACCCCATAAGTCTTTCAACAGTTTGCTGGTGTGGAAAGAGTCTCTAAATACATAGCAACACACTAAGACTTTCTGTTGTGAGTGGCATTTGTCCTCGCTCCGAGGGCTTGCACTGCCACACCTTTTGGCCATGACCTCAGACATTTTGTCGGACAGGTCTGAAGGTCTCAAGAAATAAGAAGGACAAGAACACATGGAAGAAAGGTTGAAAGAAGAAGCTACTAGGGGCTCCTGGCATCGCTACTAGGAGCGAAAGGACGCTACTAGGAACAAAGACATTGCTTTGGCGCCATCGCTACCCAGCAGGGCCACATGAGCGCCTTTCAAAGGAACTCACTCGTCAAAGGGTCGGTAGGCCAGACAAAAACCTGCACAGGGTAAGGAACCCTCAATGGGCACTGTGGCAACTCAACAAGCTGAGGTTATGCTGCAGCACCTGCAGATGTTTTCGCTTGCGGCATATGTGCATTTGTTCTGTCAGTGGGCAAGGCCAGCTTGTGTCTACCAAAGGTTCTGGGTTCTTCCCAAAGGCATTCTTGCAAGACACTTCAGGCCTTCAGGCCAGAAAGCCTTCTTTATTATAGATATATTAATTAAGATGACCATGTTTTGTTCGTTAGACCTTTGGATCCTTCGGCTGTATCATCTTCCTTCCTTTTTTTCTATGTCCGTTCTTGGGACACTTGAGACCTAAGGCCAGACCCTTCTTGGATCATTAGACTTGAGCTCATGCTACTAGTAACAAGGGCATCGCTACTAGGAGCAAGGGCGCTACTAGTAGCTTCTGGCCATATTACTAGGAAGAAGCTACTAGTGTGCTCATGCTAGTGTTCTTCTGTTCAACAAGTACAGCCTCGCCCTGCAGCCTCCCTGGTCCGTGGCGATGGACACGGACCCTTCGTTCTCTTTTTCTCGCCGACATGGCGTTAGGAACCTCAGAGCCATGGAATTCGGGTCTCTTTGGGAACAATGGACGTTTTTGGAACATGCCTTCCACATGATTTGGAATGAAATGCTCAATAGCGATGGCCTCCAACCTAAGAGCGATCTCCTCCAACCTGATAGCGATGGCCTCCAACCTAATTGTAATGACCTCCAACCTAAGAGCGATGGCCTCCAACCTAAGAGTGATCTCCTCCAACCTGATAGCGATGGCCTCCAACCTAAGAGCCATGGCCTCCAACCTAATAGCGATGGCCTCCAACCTAAGATTTGTCCAAAGATTTTTTGATGTTTTCAGAAGCAATGTGCTTTTTACTGCCTGCTACGTGGTGCCTTGAGGTGGCCAGCTTGCTTCAGCAATGGCGAGGAGCCTCCAGAGGTCCTGCGAGCTCACCAAGTGACGAGGCCCGATCATCGTTCCAACAGCAGAAACGAACCCATTCACGGCTTCAAAGGCAAGAATTCAAGAAGACTCTCCGTTTCCTCTTCCTTTCTTTTCTTGTCCTTGATGTTCTTGCTCCTAGTAGTAAGGCCAGGAGCTACCAGTAGCGTCCGATCGCTCCTAGTAGCGATGCCCTTTGCTCCCAGTAGCGTTCTTGCTTTTCCTTTTCCTTTCTGGTCCTTTATGTTCGAATCAAAGCAAAGGCACAAATGTAAAAAGTACAAGCAGTTCCCGGGCAAGCCGGCGGCGGAAGTTTCCAAAAGAGTAAACCTATAGGAAATGGGCATGTGCAGGCTGATTCGCCGAGCTGCGATGTTCTTTGACAAAACAAGTTGGAACCGACCAATGGAGCGAAAGCGAAGCAACCACCGTCAACTGTCTCGCATTTTGCAAAATACAGAATAGAGATGACTCAGCCGCGTACTAAAGTTGTACTACAAAGTCGCCAGTTCTCAGCTTCCAGCTCCACCGCTTGCTCCGCATACTAGAGTTGCACTACAAAGTCGCCGGTTCTCAGCTTCCAGCTCCACAGATTGCTCTGCGCACTAAAGTTGTACTACAAAGTCGCCAGTTCTCATCTTCCAGCTCCCC